GCATAGAGGCCAAGGCATTTCCCTGATAAGAACATCAGAAGAGCCCCGCTGGATCAGACCAGTGGTCCATCTAGTCCAGCATCCAGTCTCACACAGTGGCCTCAACCAGTTCCCCTGGAGGGCCAACAACAGGGCATAGAGGCTGAGGCCTTCCCCTGATAAGAACATCAGAGGAGCCCTGCTGGATTAGACCAGGGGTCCATCTAGTCCAGCATCCTGTTTCACACAGTGGCCAACCAGTTCCTCTGGAGGGCCAACAACAGGGCACAGAGGCTGAGGCCTTCCCCTGACGTTGCCTCCTGGCTCTGGGATTCAAAGGATTAGTGCCTCTGAATGAGGAGTTTCCCCTCAGCCACCGTGGCTAGTAGCCATTGATAGACATCCTCCATGAAGCCATCTAATCCCCCGTTAAAGCTGTTTATTCCTGTGGCCATCACTATATCCTCTGGCAGGTAATTCCGTGTCAGTATAAGTCCATTTCTCGTGTCCATGTGTTCAAACGTAGTGATTTGCATCCCGCCCTTTCTGTTCCCAGATTGAGCAAAACCGCAAGCGGGAAGCCGAACTGCTGAAGCTGCGCCGTGAGTTGGAGGAGGCCGCCTTGCAGAGCGAGGCCACGGCTTCCACCCTGCGCAAGAAGCACACAGACACCATGGCGGAAATGACGGAGCACCTTGAGAGCCTGCAGAGGGTGAAGTCCAAGCTGGAGAAAGACAAGCAGGTCATGAAGGCGGAGATCGAAGACCTCAGCGCCAGCATGGAGACGGTCCAGAAATCCAAGGTGCGATGAGGGGAACTTAGTTCTTCTAAGTCGACAGGTCAAAAACGAGTCCTGAGGGGAAAGAAAAATAAGTTCTTCTGAGTCGACGGGTCAAAAACGAGTCCTGAGGGGAAAGAAAAATAAGTTCTTTTAAGTTGACAGGACAAAAATGAGTCCTGAGGAGGGGAAAAAATAAGTTCTTCTGAGTCGAGTGGTCAAAAATGAGTCCTGAGGGGAAAGAAAAATAAGTTCTTTTAAGTCGACAGGACAAAAACGAGTCCTGAGGGGAAAGAAAAATAAGTTCTTCGAAGTTAATGGGACAAAAACAAGTCCTGAGAGGGGGAAAAATAAGTTCTTCTAATTCAACAGGACAAAAACGAGTCTTGGGGCTGGTCAAGTTATTGTACCTCATCCTAGAGGTCTTTTCCCCATTCCCTACTTTGGCAAGCCCTTTGGCAATACGGCAAAAGATAAGGCAAGCCGGTGGACGACCATGTCTGCTTTTGTGTTTTTCCCCAGATGAATGCCGAGGCTCACGTCAGCAAACTGGAAGACAACCTGGCCGAAGCCAACGCCAGGCTGGCTGAGATGGAGAAGAACCAAGCCGAAATCAATGCTATTCGGACCCGGCTCCAAGGTAGGGTGCCCTTCCGTCTCTCTCGGCTCCGTAGGCAGCTTCCCGTTGTGGAACTCTTTTCACGAGGACCGATCTGCCTAGGAAACACCGCACATCTGCCATGGAATCCTTGTGCCCTGTGGGGGATTCTGGAGCACGTTCTGGAGTGTGCATTAAGTTCTTAAGAAGCATTCAGTGCTCATGTTGAACCTCAGCGTCACTCAGATGCTTAATCTTCCCTGTGCAATGTGGGGGGAAAAAACTGGTGGATTAAGGCAGGCTTGTGTGCCATTACTGACATTCTCACTTAAGGAACCCTCAGGTGATAACGTGGGTCTTTTTGGTCCCCTTTCCTCCTGTCACGGCTCAGGTGGGGGGTGTCACCTGACGCTGCCACCACTCTGGTTCCAGGCTCCCTCGAGAAGGCCCAGAGCACCCTCCCTTTAGCTGAAATGAGCGTGAGGACCAGGCAGAGTGAACAATGAAAATAATTTATTTTATAGGAGGTCAAACAACACTCTGAGATACATGCAAAAGTCTTCTGCATTTAAGATCCAGTTCTAATCTAGTCCTCACACTCGCTTTTCTGACAGAGGTAGCATAATTACCGGCACTTCATACTCTTCATTATTGGTTGATAAATGTTCAAAAATGTTAAAATAGTTTTTACTGTTACGTAATAGACTTTTGAGGCTACTTGATCCTTATCTCTTGTTGTTGCTTGTTTAATGCTTTTGATGTTCATTGTTGTTAATGATCATTTTAAAACGAATAAAAAATTTAAATTGGAATAATAACAGTAAGTGGGTGAAAAGAAATCAAATGCCCTAATGTGTCTGAATATACTGTCCCTAGCTCACTATCTCAAGTGGCCTTAGACTACTCACCCTTCCCTCAGGAAGAGGGTTTCTTCCCCACAGCAGGCTCTCTTCTGGCCCTGTTCCCTGGGAAGAAGAACAGCTTTTTCTCTTGTACCAGTTCTTTTATTCCCCAGCCCTCTTCTCCCCTATTGGTCAAAATCGGCACCAAAACTTCCCAAGGCCTTCTGGGGTTTGTAGGCCCAGCCTCCCCTACTGCTAGCCTGGCTCCCTGGGCCTAGTAGGCCTCTGGTGGCACAGCCCAGATCATGACACCTCCTCATTGTCAAGTCTTTCAACGTCCAGACCGATAGATTCAGGTGGGTATCTAACAAGCGTGAAAAAGCCTGCGAAAAATAACAGAAATAGAGATTACATAAATATTCTTATGTATTGTCAATTCCTATATTGTACAAATACAAAATTTTCACACAACATAAACTCAAGTACAAAAACCCTATTACAGGTTCACCTGTTCACAGTCTCGAATCTGTAAATCCACAAATCCTTAAATTTCGGGGGGGATCGCGGGAGATCGCAGTTCCCCCGGGTGACGTACGGGGGGCGGGGCACATGACGAAGCCCCACCCCCTGCTTCCGGCCGCCCCGCTTCCGGCCCTCATTCAGCCAGGAGGAGGCAGGAGAAGAGGGAGGGTAAGTTGCTTCCTCCTGCCTGCCTGGGGCCAGGGAGGGCCTTCGCGGGGCTTCCTTGCTCTCTCCCGCCGGCCTTGCAGGTCCACCGCCGGGCCCCTCATGAGCAGGCCAGTAGCTCACAAAGTAGAATTTCTGCTGACAAGACTCCACAGCTTAGAGGGAGCATTGGTTCTCAGATATTAATTTCCAAATACTATCAAGGCTCAAGTCGCAGAAAAAATGAATTTCAAGGCGGGCTACCAATCACATTTTCAAACTCTTGTCTTTTCAAAGTTGGTACATCAGTCCATCTCTGAAGGAGACAATTGAAACGGAAGACTTATCCAGAATCTTCGTTAGGATTTGTGGATTTATGGACTAGAAATTGTGAACCTGAAATAGGATTTTTTGTATGTGAGTTTGAGGATTTGTGGACTTATGCTTTAGAGACTGTGAACTGGTGAACCCGTAATAGGGTTTTTGTACTTGAGTTTGTTTTGTGAAAATGTTGTATTTGCACTATATAAGAATTGACAGTGCACAAGAATATTTATGTAATCTTTATTAGCATTATTTTTCACAGTCTTTTCCACACTTGTTAGCTACTCGGTCTGCCTGTGATTCTTCTTTGAGTTATAGATTCAGGTGGGTAGCTATGTCGGTCCAAACCAAGAGAATAAAGCGCAGGTCCAGCGGCACCTTTAAGACCAACAAAGTTGAATTCCGGGTCTAAGCTTTTGTGGGCATGCACGCTTCTTACTCTGAAGAAGTGTGCATGCACACAAAAAGCTTATACCCAGACAGAGAGCCAGTTTGGTGTCGTGGTGAAGTGGGCGGACTCTAATCTGGGAGAACCGGGTTTGATTCCCCACTCCTTCACTTGCATCTGCTGGATGACCTTCGGCAAGCCACAGTTCTGTCAGAGCTGTTCCCTCAAGGACGGTTCTCGCAGAGCTCTCTCAGCCCCGCCTACCTCACAGGGTGTCTGTTGTGGGGAGGGGAAGGGGAAGGTGTTTGTAAGCAGCTCTGAGACTCCAAGTGAAGGGTGGGGTATAAATCCAATCTCTTCCTCCTCCTCCTCCTTCTTCTTTTTCGTTGGTCTTAAAGGTGCCACTGGACTCAAACAATGAGGAATTTCAGACAGACGATATAATCCGGAAGAGGAACTGTTCCCAAAAGGTTTCTGATCTGTCATTTCAGACAGAACCATTTAGAACCATTTTAGAACCGGTTCCCTACCGTTTAGGAAACGGGGCTGAAGCATTTTACCTTGCAACTGCTTCCAAGTAGTCTTCAGTTT